CACCTTGTTCTTCTGTTCCTGCTCTGGCTCCCCTGGAAAACATTCATGGGCTGCTCAAATATTGAAGGAGCCTCATTATTGCCAGTACCAAAGAAAACTATGTTACCTCTTGGTACTCTCAAGCTGCCAATCTTCCTAGGGGTAGAAGGTTCTAGGTTCATAAAGAGGATGGCTTTATCTTTGCCTCTGTAAACTAGATGGAGAGGGGTTCTCCTACTGATTTCCCATAAAGTCTCAACAAAACAGCTTTTCTGACTGCTGGCCTCCACCATCTAATCATTAAATCCCAGGGACCATTCTATCCCACTATATTTTATTCAGGTTCCCCTCTCCCCAAAGCCTTTTCCTTCCCTCTGCTGTTATAAAATAAAATTTCCTACACAAATCAATTAGCTAATATTTATTGAACATTTCCTATATGCCAGGAATCATTCTAAGAGCTCTATGTTATTGCATTCATTCTTAATAACAAACTGCTAAGTTGGATACTACTATTATCTCCATCTTACAGATGAGAAAACCAAGACACAGAAAGATTAATTAATGATAGAGCCCACATTGAAATGCAAGCTTTCAGATTCTACAACCCTTGCTCTTAATCACTCTCAGTAGCGCCTCTCATTCCCGAAAATAATCTCTGGGAGGCAGCTGAAGGGGATTCTACTTGAGTTGTAGCTCAACCAGACCAAGTAGTTTGATATATAATTATATCTCCATCAGCAAATGATACTCTCTTCTCAATTAGGCAGAATATAGTGAACATATCACAGGATTTGTTAATTAAATGATACCTAGCTCTTGACTTGAATGTCATTTTCTGCTGGTGTGACTTTGGGCTATTTACTGTAACTCCCTGAGCCTTCATTTCTTTGTCTTTAAAGGAGATGATGATTACTATCTTTAACGAAGGAATGAACATTCTGGGTCACCTGCCTGGCTTGGTTGGAAGAGCACAGGACTTTTGATCTCGGGGTCATGAGTTCGAGCCCCATGTTGGGTGTAGAGATTATGTAAATAAATGAAACTTAAAAAAATAAAAATAAAATAGGAACATTCTTAGAGTAAATAAGATAATGTATATAGAGCAACCAGCAGGTGTGCTGAGCACATGGAAGGCAACCACTCAGTATTAATTTCTTCTTTTCCTATTCAGTAAATAAGTAAACCACAAGCTATTATGCTTCACTGTATTTCTTCTGGGTAGATTCCTTTTGTAAAATAGAGCTCAAGATGGTAAAGATGGTCTTTCTTTTTTAAAAAAAATTATCTCTCCATTTTTGTGAGAGAGAGCACAAGAAGTGGGGAGGGGCAGAGGGAGAAGCAGACTCCCGGCCAAGCAGGGAGCCCAAGATGGGACTTGATCCCAGAATCCTGGGATCACGACCTGAGCTGAAGGCGGAGACCTAACGACCGAGCCACTCAGGGACCCAACAAAGATGGTTTTACTCAAGATTCTATATGCTGTTCACAATAAAACGATTTTCTGTGGGCGCCTGGGTGGCTCAGATGGTTAAGCGTCTGCCTTTGGCTCAGGTCAGTCCCGCATCAGGCTCCTTGCTCAGCAGGGAGTCTGCTTCCCCCTCTGCCTCTGCCTCTCCCCCTGCTTGTTCTCTCTCTGTCTCTCTCGCAAATGAATAAATAAAACCTTTATTTAAAAAACCGATTTTCTGCCATAAACTACCAGTGAAAATTAAAACAATTCCATGCTATACTAGTTGCAATACTGATTGTTTTTTTCTCCTGGGATGGGTATGCACATGTGATCTGTAGAACCAAAAAAATAATCTACAATGAAATACAATATTTCCCTTTGGCAAAATACTAAAAGTTGCTACCAAGGGCTCTATAATTTATGTAATCATTTTTTTGTGTTGCTATATTAAAATATATTGTATTTACTTAGTGATATTAGTGCCATGACTATATTTCAAGTTCAGTGAAGTACAAATATAATTGTTTTAAAATGGTTGATAGGGGGCGCCTGGGTGGCTCAGTCGTTAAGCGTCTGCCTTCGGCTCAGGTCGTGATCCCGGGGTCCTGGGATCGAGCCCCGCATCGGGCTCCCTGCTCCGCGGGAAGCCTGCTTCTCCCTCTCCCGCTCCCCCTGCTTGTGCTCCCTCTCTCGCTGTGTCTCTCTCTGTCAAATAAATAAATAAAATCTTTAAAAAAAAAAAAATAAAAAAAATAAAATGGTTGATAGAATGCCAATTCTCAAATCCTAAGAATAAATAGAAACACGCCTTAGCCTGTTTGGACTGCTATAACAGGATATGATGGGTTGCTTATGGACAATAGAAATTAATTTCTCACTGTTCTGGAGGCTGGAAGTCCATGGTCAGGGTGCCAGCATGGTCAAATTCTGGTGACAACCCTCTTCCAGGTTGCAGAATGCGGACTTCTTGCGGTGTCCTCACGTGGTGGAAGGGTAAATGTAAGATATCAGTCACAAGGTCAACAAAAGTACCTAGGAGTTAATCTAATAAAAAATGCGCAAGACAATACAAACATTTATTAAGTGTTTACTTCAGATACAACATTGGTCAAAACAGAGGAGCTTATATTTGGAGCAGAGAAAGAAAATAGTAAACAGATAAACATAAATATATGTCAAGTAGAGATAAGTATCATTAAGAAATTATGAAGGTGGGCGCCTGGGTGGCTCAGTCGTTAAGCGTCTGCCTTCGGCTCAGGTCATGATCCCAGAGTCCTGGGATCGAGCCCCACATCGGGCTCCCTGCTCTGCGGGAAGCCTGCTTCTCCCTCTGACCCTCTGCCTGCTTGTGCTTGCCTTCTCTCTCAAATAAATAAATAAAATCTTTAAAAAAAAAGAAAAGTGCATTGAAACAGGACATATTATTTATTTTTTTTAAAAAGATTTTATTTATTTATTTGACAGAGAGAGACAATCCTTAAAAAAAAGAAAAGAAAAGAAAAGTGCATTGAAACAGGGCATATTATTTATTTTTTTAAAAGATTTTATTTATTTATTTGACAGAGAGGGACACAGCAAGAGAGGGAACACAAACAGGGGGAGTGGGAGAGGGAGAAACAGGCTTCTCGCGGAGCAGGGAGCCTGATGTGGGGCTCGATCCCAGGATCCTGGGATCATGACCTGAACCGAAGGCAGATGCTTAATGACTGAGCCACCCAGGCGCCCCAAAACAGTATATATTATTATTACATGTAATAAACTCTAGTGTTTTTTTCTTCTTTTCTATTCTATTTCACTCTCTAAAAATGCTGTGTGGCACTAAACTAATTACAAGAAACCTTAATAGTATAGGGGCACCTGGGTGGCTCAGTCAGTTAAGTGGCTGCCTTCAGCTCAAGTCATGATCCCAGGGTCCTGGGAGCCAGTCCTGCATCGGGCTTTCTGCTCACCAGGGAGCCTGCTTCTCCCTCTCCCTCTGCCTGCTGTTCTGCCTACTTGGGCTCTCTCTCTGTGTCTGTCAAATAAATAAATAAAATCTTAAAAAAAAAAGAACCCTTAATAGTATAAACTTCAGATTTTATTCTACAGTGGGAAGCCAACCAAAAATGCTGAGCATAGCTGACAGATGATCTAATCTGCTTTATTTTTAAACTTAATTTGCATTGTTAAAATTTACTTTATGGCAATTTGAAACACACAAAAGTTGAGGTTATACCATAATGAACGCTCATTTATCCATCACCCAATGTCAATAACTATCAGCAATTTGCCATTCCTGTTGTATCTATCACCTTACACATTTAAAAGAAACCATTAGACTACTGGGGGCTATGGGATTTGGGGGATGGGTAGCGTGGAGAAGAAGGAGTCCAGCTGGTAGAGCGTTCGGTGGGATTTCCCTACTGAAACTGTAGAGACCTCAGCGTTCCTTCTGAGATCCTGGCATAAGGATCTCATGGAGGGGTTTGCTTTCTTTTCAGCAGCCTTTCTGTGATGCCCAGTGCATTCCGGGTAGAAAAGTGCTTAGAAAGACAGGATCCAGGGCACAGGTATGAAGATTGGATAGGCTGGATTTATATAGAGGTTCTCCTCCTCAGGGGTGGGGTAGAGGTGGTAGTGAGCCTGGGGGTTTGTCCTAGAAGCTGGGATCATGCACCCTCTCAACACCTTCTGCTTCTGGAAGTGATAAAGAAGACACCAACAACTCAACTGTCTTCGGTCTTGTCGCAGTAGAACCTAGTAGAAGTACATTCGGAGGAGCCCATCATGGAGAGTTGGCTGTAGAATGTACCCCCAAAAGGCTCAATTAACTGAACCTGGATAGGTATCTGGTTCTACGGGATCTGGAGGACTGTCCCTATGGGATCTGGAGGACTGTCATGCGTATGGAAATGGCTAGCAAACAGGAAATAATAGGAACAATGCGGCACTCTTTTGGACTGAGACATGTAAACATCAAGGTGCTAAGAACAGTGATACAGCAGATGTGTTCCTCGCCCGGAGAGGGCCCCACCTCTCCGCGTCTCAGAATATTACACTTTGGTGACAGGAACCCAAAAGGCCGTCGAAGGACCCGGGCTCTGGGCTGAGGGTGCATGAGCGTGGGAACCACTGAAGGTTTGCCCCAGAATGTGCGAGCAGAGGGCATCCGCCAGGATTTCTGGAAAGATGTAGAACCTCAAGCGTGGCACTGTCGTGTTGGGCTTTCTGAAGAAGTGCTGCAGCTCCGCTTATTCTATGAAGAGTGACCAGAGGGACTAGCTCATGGAAGGAGACCTTTGCTCTCCAGGCCCCAACCCCACCCTCCCCCAAACACTCTAGACAGTCCTTGATGGTTTAGTAAACGCCTCCAAAGGTTCCTGTGCACTTTGGCTGGGCTGCTAACGTTAACCTCTCCTTTTTGAGCCACGCGAGGGCTTGCCTCTGAGGGCAGAACAAGCGGGAGTCTGGGAGGTCAGCGTCGCGTTTCAACTCAGCCCCGCGGGCAGGGTCGACTACATTTCCCAGGAGCCTCGGCGCGCACTTCCGCTTCCGGCTCCTTTGTCTGGACGCGCTCGGCTCGCGGCTAGTCTGTTCTTGTGGTCCTACCTACAGTGACCAGCTCGGTGTCTGAACCCGGGAGGAGCAGACGTGGGACAGGGGTGTGTGTCCAGCAGGGGATTGTCAGGCTTGGGGGTCTGGTCGCGCGTCCCACTGGGGATCTCCCTGGGCCCGCTGACCGTAATCCCTCCTGCTGGAGCTGGGGAGCTGTCAGGGTTTGGCCACCTTGACCCTGCCCCTCTGTTCTGGGTTTTGCGTGTACGTGATGGTGGTGTGTACGTGTGTTTAAGCCTGAGACACGTCTAGGTCCTTTGCTCGGACACGGGCTGAGGGCCCGCACAGCCTGAAGCGCTTGGCTGGAAGGTGAGGCAGGTAGGGCCCAAGGCTGTCCATGCTCCCAGGTCAGAGACCAACGCGCGTCTGCCCTTGTGCCCTTGCAACCCACAGCGTGGTGGATCCATTGTTTAGGACTCAGACGATGTTGACGCGGGAGGGCGTGGATGTAAGAGATCCATTTGTCTACATCGCGAGAAAGCGGTTATTGCTCAGTGATGTGACCGTAGGCAAGTTACTGAACTTTGCCTCTCCTGTTCCTTACCTGTCAAGTGAAGTTTATTGTCCCTACCTTACGTGGTGATTGTGAGGATTCAGTGGAAATTTGATATGAAACAGTTGACACAGTGCCAGGCACTAAGTAAGGGCTCCATCAGTGGTAGCCATTATGAATAGTAGGTATCCACCTCCCCATCTGTACATAAAAAGCAACTGAAACCCAGGGAGGAAAAATTACTTGTTTTGGGTCACTTAGCCATCTGGTACATAGAAATGAGAACCCAGGTGCCTTCACTCCTAGCGGGGCACTTGCCACCATGGCCTGCACTTGTGTATCCTTCAGGCATGTTGGTAACAACATCTTTACCAGTTGTCTGTGATTATCTATGTTCCTGGGTGTCTGTCTCTGCGGAGCCCTGGGGGAAAGGTTATACTGAGACTTCCCTGTGAATAGGGCTTCCTGAAGCCTGAGTGACTGCTGAACTTCTTCACTTTAGTCTTAGCTCAAAATATACTGCTTCAGACCCACCCCACCCCCATCACTGTTATGAGTGGGGTCTCAGAGAATGAAAGACGAAATACAATGAAAAAGAATAATTCAATCCAGAATCTCTTCCTAGAGTTTCTGGGAGAATGCTGGTAATCCCCAGGAAGAGACATGGAGGATTTGGGTGAAGTTGCTTTACCCAAATGGTGCAAAGACTGTGGTCATGGAGGATCAGAGCCACAAACTCCAGAACAGAGGTAAGAAACACAAGTAAGAGAAGCTTCTGCTGTTAGCTGGGCACCTACAGTGTGCACACAGTAATCTTGTTTTAGTTTTTCTTTACAGCAGCCTTGTAAAATGTGTGGGGGCAGCTCGGAGACCTTGGGCAAGTCATCAATTTCCTCATTTGTAACAAGTGATTTATGGAAAGCATCTGGTACATGGTGAGTGCTCCATAAGTAGTAGTAACTTTACTGATATAATTCCCTTTTTACTTGAAGCTCTAAAAAGTAAGACATCTTACTCTCCATTCTCTATTATACTGGATGCCTCTCCAAAGAATGAGAGGGGGCAAGTCAGACTCCTTGGATAGATAAAAGGAAATGGACATGGAGAAGCAGAGGATTTGATCTGGCACTCTAGCACATGGAAGAGGTCAAGTGCAGAGCTGGGGCCTGCATCTGCAGGGTCCACTGCCCAATTCTGGAAGGATTGAGAACTGCTCCTGACTTCCTTTCAATCTCTCTCTCTTTTTTTAAAAAAGATTTTATTTATCTGACACAGAGAGAGAGAGACACAGCAAGAGAGGGAACACAAGCAGGGGGAGTGGGAGAGGGAGAAGCAGGCTCCCCACGGAGCAGGGAGCCTGATGCGGGGCTCGATCCCAGGATCCTGGGATCATGACCTGAGCCGAAGGCAGACGCTTAACGACAGCCACCCAGGTGCCCACCTTTCAACCTCCTTTAAGAAGTATTCTTTCTTAAGGAGATACAAAAGGATGGCCCAGATGAGAAGGGGCTTCCACGGTGTAGCTTCAGTCTGCTTGGTTTTCCGGGACGTCCTGCCCTTAGCCCCTCTGATTTCTCAGGGTCCTGAAACTTAAAAGTTCCCATCTCTACCCATCCTTCACTGATTGTCAGAGTTCAGTACAAGGAGCGGACAGGCATCCGGTGGGGAAGTAGGGGCTTGGGGTTTGACCAGATACATTGATGATGCCTTTTGTTTTCATAAAACAAGGGATAGAAAGAAAATCCTATAGAATTTTTTTAATAAAAAGATTTATTTATTAGAGAGTGCGTGAGTGTGCAGGGAGGGTCAGGGAGAGAGGGAAAGGGAGAGAGAGAATCTCCAGCAGACTCCCCGCTGAGCAGGGAGCCCGATGTGGGTCCTAGACCCACGACTCTGAGATCATGAGCTGAGCCTAAATCAAGAGTCCGACGACGCTTAACTGAATGAGCCACTCAGGCACCCCTGACAAGGGGCTTTAAGTATTGCTTTTTGGTAATGGGGGAGAGTGAGAGTTAAAGAAATAATAAACTAGAATAGTAGGAAGGCAATTATATATAGAATAAGATAAATGGCATATAGCCCTGCCACCCAAAGATAAGCTTAAAGGAGTGCACAAAGTTAATATTATCGGTTTTCTCCCAGTAGGCAAAAAATCAAAGTGGGAAGGGAAATTGTGAGCAGAACGTTGCTTGATGGGCATGGAGTCAAAGGAGTTAGGGGGATCATGAATTCATTCTCAACACTTTGGGCCTCCTGCCCCCAGAAATACTATGTTGGGTGCTTGGGATGCAGGGGAGGACGAGATGACAGACTAGGGGTTAGTGGATCACGTGTGTGGTGGAATGAACCTAGGATGGCTGCAAACTTAGCAGGGGCCTAGAATACTCATGATCTGGTGGCTGGTGCTTCCCGGTTGGGCACTGTTGCCCTTTGCCTCTGTGGCTCCTTTTTCTTGTTCTTTGAAGTTGGAAAGTTTCTCCATTTGTGAATAAAGGAGTCTGGAAGCTTCCTGCCAACCCTAACACTATATGGGTTTTTGTTGCTGTTGTCACAGGGATCCTCATTCTCAGAGCACAGGCTCAGGCTTATCCTGAATACAGTTAATGATCATACAGAGAGTCATCCCTGAGGTTATCTTGGAAGCCTCATTACATAGGTGTCTGTGGGATCCTTCCAACCATATGGTAGCCAAGGTCAGACGCACTTTTTGTCATAAGTGGCTATTTCTAATATAACAGGTTTGAGACCATATTAATAAACTGGATTCCTTTATTATTCTTCCCTTCCAGTTCTGCCATCTAGGGAGTCTGCCCTTTTCCAAAAGGGGTATCTTTAGGAGGAGAATATGGCTGCTCTTCTTCAGGTAGCAAAATCCCAGGTGAGTTGGGGATTTTCCTCTCATCCCTAAAATCTCATCTTAATTCCTGAAGTGAATAAATTTCTCTCTCATCGCATGAAGCTCGTCAGCCCTATTAGCAAAAGTGGTTTTCAAAGATAGGATCAAGAGGGTGGGGTGGACTACCAACAACATGGCAGCTGGGGGTTCTTTATTGTGTGGAAGTAGCAGTGAAGATGGGGCTTGGCAGTCTCTCCCATCAGTTGGCAATAGAGGACAGAGGACCGAGAGCATTGTTGGGAGAGAGTCAGGCTTCCCTTCGTCCACTTGAGGCATTTGATGTAGATCAGCAAAGGCACATGAGATCTTTTGTATCCATCTGCTTAGAATGTTCTCCATGGGGAGAAAAGACCCGTACACAAATCTGTGTGACACAAATCAGCAAATTTACTGACGGCCTGCTTAATAAAGTGTTTTAGGGAAAATGTTGTATGGTTTCAGGGGAGAGTGAGCGTGTCTGGCTGAGAGAGATTTGGGAAAGTTTTATTCATTCAGCCAGCATCTTTAAGCCCTTTTAAGGAGATTTGGGCTAATAGTAGCAGTGAGATTTGAAGTGGGCCCTGAAGGATGAGTAGATTTTTTTTTTTAAAGATTGTATTTATTTTCTTATTTTAGAGAGAGAGCAAGGTGATGGGCAGAGGGAGAGGGAGAGACAATCTTGAGCAGACTCTGTGCTTGAGCGCAGAGCCCAACAGGGGGCTCAATCTCATGACCCTAAGATCAAGAGTCAGACACTTAACCGACTGAGCCACCCAGGTGCCCCGGATGAGTAGATTTTTGAGAAGATATATTTGGGAAGTCAGTGATATAAATGGCTTAGAATTGAGGAAAGGTACTGCTTCTTCTGAGACAGGAAAAAAGTACAAAGTACATTGAAATCTTGGATATGTTGTCCTATAAAAATTTAGGAAGCTTCTGATCTGTTTGCCATGTACTAATAATCACACCCAAAGTTCTTTCCTGGATATAAGTCTCAAGCTTGGTATATTTCGCAGTTTCTTACTTACCATGTCTCTTTCTTTTTTTTTTTAAACCATGTCTTTCTTAATGAAGATAACGTTAAGTTTGCCAAACAATAGGCGTGGATGGGAACGCCATATCCTTAACTTGATCTTTTTTTATAGGACTAAGTCACTTTGTTTAGCTAAGAAGTTTCAGCGGGCCTTTGTTGTTCAAAGCCTTTTTTAGACTTCCTGTTGTATGAGATCTAGAAACAGTTTGCTTTTCCAACCATGTGAAGCCCCAAGTTTCTGTACTCTCTATTCCATTTTATTTTAGCTTGAAAATTGGTACATTCCTTCCTGAGCTCAACTCTTTCTTTGCCAAATATATCCAGAAGCATCCTCCACAAGCTAGCATTTTGGCTTTTTCCAACTTATTCCCCCAGAGCTACAGGCCCAGTGAACTTTTGGTCTGCCTTCCCAGTTACTAATTACTTTGCCAGTTTAGATCAAGAGTCTACATCATTCCAGCCTTAACGACCCATTTCTTTGAAGCTTGATGCCTGAATGTCAAGCCAATGCCCCTGTATATTTTAGGTGTTTGTTATGATATCTTCTACTTCAAGGTGTTAGTTTCTGAATTAATTAGGCTTGGCTAACTTGTAACTGGTGTAACTGATAGACCCAAAATATATAATGGCCACAGTATAATAGAAGTTTATTTCTTGTTCTTGTAACCATATACTAGGTCAGCAGGTTGATAGGGTGGCCATTCAGGGCCTTGAGCTATCTGAAGCTCTGATATCTCTACCACATGGCTCCCAAATTCACTTTTGGGGTCATCTCCATGTCCCAGCCACAAGGGGAAAACAGTTTGGGGGAATGCATGGGAGTCAGGCCTGGAAATAGTGCACGTCACTTCTGCTTGCATTCTCTTGGCTTGAACGCAGTCACATGGCCACATCTAACTGCAAAGGAGTTTGGGAAATGTTTGTCTACTTAGAAAGATGAGGAGGTGAAGTGTACTTTAGTGAGCAGTTAGCAGCTTCTGCCACTCTCCTCAAGCATTTAGGTTATTTAGAACTCTTTTGCTATTGTAAATTATAAATAGATAAAAATCTGTTGATAACTCATTACTTATATCTCCATTTTATTACAATTGAGTTCTAGATATAAAATCAGTATGTCAAGAGGGTATACACATTTTAAGACTCTTTAACCTATGAGTCAATATGCCTTTGACACTATGAACATAGTTGGATGCATTTCCTCTCCATTCCATGAATCTCCCCTAATTGTGCCTCATTCAATCATTATTTCTGTACCCCATGCAGGTGCTTCAGGGCTTATCCTTCAAGGATGTGGCTGTGAACTTCACTGAGGAAGAATGGAGAGAACTGGACCCTGCTCAGAGAGACTTGTACAAGGATGTAATGCTTGAGAACTATAGGAACCTGGTCTCCTTGGGTAAGGTTGGGTCCTCACCTCAGGTAGGCATTTTGGGATGCCATTGCTTTCTAAAGATCCCCATGCTACTATTAGGGGACGATCAGAAAGGAGGCTTTGGTGGGTGTTTGGGTGGCTCAGTCGGTTAAGCATCCAATTCTTGATTTTGGTTCAGGTCATGATCTCAGGGTCATGGGATCCAGCCCTGCGTGGGGCCCTGTGCTCAGTGGGGACTCTGCTTGTCCCTCTTCCTCTGCTCCTCCTCTTGCCCTCTGAAAGAAAGAAAGAGACAAAGAAACAAAGAAGGCTTTGGTTAACATTTTCCTCCAGGATCCAGAGCAGATCCTTAAACTGTTTCTCACCCTACTTTGGTAGAAAATGTATAATTACTTTTGACAATTAGTTACTTGTTTTCTGCTCTTGAAAACACAAGAGTGGGACTGAAAATGGGGTGGCCCTTTGTCTTGGAAACTGACAATCACATTCTATTTCTTTCCCTTGAGTAGGATTTCCATTTTCTAAACCTGATATCATCTCCCAATTGGAACAAGCAGGAAACCCATGGATGCAGGAGAGAGAAGTACTAAGAAGCAGCTGCACATGTAAGTAAGAACAAGGCAGACAACATCTTTTGAAATATGAGTTAGGGGTTCTTCCCCAAATCCTCCAGGCCTGTAGAAAATGTTGAGGCCCCCTCTAAGTCTCATCTTCATTTTGACATATCAGAGTCTCATTAGCCTAACTCTACTTCTTCCCAGAATTAAGGAAGGTACTTCCTCCTTAAAGTTATAACCCTGACACTTGATCCAGAGATCACTGTTGTGCCTCACTCTGGCATTTTATGAGGTCATTCCCTTTTCCTCTCTAGTAGCTGGAGTCTCTCCTTCACTTACTTTGTCTTCGTTGTACCTAGTTTTTTCCTACCTAAAAAGTAAGAACAGAATGAAAGAATTTGAATGTAAGTTCAAGGAGTGTGATCTTACATCCAATTTTAAGGTTGTAAAATTGATAGAATTTGCTGACTATATGTGGGAGGTGAGGGAGAAACAGACAAAGATGATTTCCAGGTTTCTGGCTTGGCTGTGTAGGTAGATGGAAGTTCTCTTCCCTGAGATAGAAAACACAGGAGAAATGGCAAGTTTAGGGGGATAGGGTGGAAGAGGAGTTCTCTTTATTCTGTTTGAAGAGTCTATAGCAGATCTAAACCAGTGGTTCTCAAACAGGGGTGATTTTGCCCCCAGGGGACATGTCTGAAGACTGGGAGGATGCTATGGGCATCTAGTGGGTCAAGGCCAAAGATGCTGCTAAGTATCCTACCATGCACAGGACAACCCCTCCCACAAAGACTTGTCTTGACAAAGTGTCAGTACTGCTGCAGTTGAGAAACTGTGGTCTAAGTAGGGGTGTCTGGAAGGTAGATGAATATAAGGAGGAGATGTCAAATGGATCTTGGTGAAGGAGAGAGATCATAACTGGTGGTATAGCTTTGAGAGTCATCTGAGAATAGATGGTAATTGAAGTCATGGGAGTGGATGAAATATGAAAATTGAGCAATAGAGCATGAAAAGAGTTGCAAGAGAACTTAGAAGCCCAATGAACATACACATTTAAGTATCTGCTAGCTGTCTATATCTGTATATATCTATATCACTTGTGTACTTAAAAAAAAACACACATGGAGAAAATGTTGTCAAAATAATAAAATAGTAATAATTTTTGATAACGGGTGATGGCAATAGAGGTATATTATACAAATTTTATCAACATAAATGAAGGAAAGGGAATCCAGAAAGGATACTAAGAAAGGGTGGCCAGAGCAGAAGGAAACCAGGTCAGGTTATTGTTGTAGAATCCAACAGAAAAGAGGATTTCAAGGAGGGGAGGTGCTCATAGTAACATATTCTAGAGAGGTCAAGACCTGAAGAGTGTGCATTGGACTTAACAGGTTATTCCTTCTTTTTGGCTAACCTGATAATGGATTAGTTCCCCTGCTACGTTTCTCTCCCCTGCTTAACTTAGGTTGCCTTCTTTTAACTTTCATTTTCTACATTATATAAGGTTGTCAAAGTCACATACTGAGGTTACTTTGAAAATAGTCCAGCTTGCAAAATACATGTGCTGTTTGTCTTACCCTTCATAAGGCTGAAAGACTACTTACAAGATCCTCAATTATAAAGTCCCAGCTTTACAACAATTAAGATGTATGTCATGTGTAGTTTACCTATAAGAAAGCTGAACTAGGGGCACCTAAGTGGCTCAGTCGTTAAGCGTCCGCCTTCAGCTCAGGTCTTGATCCCAGGGTCCTGGGATTGAGCTGCACATTGGGCTCCCTGCTTTGCGGGAAGCCTGCTGCTCCCTCTCCCACTCCCCCTGCTTGTGTTCCCTCTCTCACTGTGTCTCTCTCTGTCAAATAAATAAATAAAATCTTAAAAAAAAAAAAAGCTGAACTAGTACTAGTAGTAAGCCTAATCCCCTGATCCTCCTAAAATTTATGCATTCTCTTGAACTTTGACCCTCTTTATCTTTTTTGGGGGTGTGTATGTGTGTATTTTGGGAGGCCCAGAGAGAGGGGAAAAAAGTGAAAGATGAAGGAAAGCTCTGGCAAATGGTAATATTCAGGGTAGCAAAGGAAAATCTGGTTAATGATCTTATTGAATCCAACAGCAACCTCAGGCATAATCGGGCATAATGGGGAACTCTGCCAGTGGGAATGGAAGATGTAGGCATTAAAGGATGACCCTAGCTGGAGTGAACTCCAGACAGGGGACACAGGGGACTGCTGGTGGTGGTGGTATCAAAAGCCAGGGAAGATTCTAGTGGTTCCACGGCTAGGGGTAGCTATCATTCCTATGTACAGTACCAATCATTTCCCAACTGAAAATCTCCCTAACACATTATTTTACAGCATTCATCATTCTTGAAATTATTTGATTAATACTTACCTTCCCCAAAAGACTGTAAATCTCAAAAAAGCTGGTACTATATCTGCTTCGTTTGTCATTGAATCCTAGCATGTAACACAGTACCTAGCTCATAATAGGTGTTCAATAAATTATCTGTTGACTACTTGACTTATATTTGTGACTAATGGCATTTATATACTTTTATTATCTCAATCCTGCTTTAGTCATTTCCTTCTTCTAGTACAGGGAACTTTTTTACTTTTCCCCCTCCAGATTTGGAGACCAGAAAGTCAAACCCAAAGGAGGTATTTTCTGAAAAAGAATCATGCCAGGGGATAAGTATGGAGAGAAGCACAGGGGCTGATGCAAGGGCTTCCAGTTTGAAGGAAGCCTGGGGATATGCAGAGATCAAAGAGAATGGTCAAGACAGACTCTGGAAAGAAGCAACAGTTATCTGCAAGAAAAGAACTTCTAGAACTGATAGTAACCCCAAACATATTGAATCTGGCAGACATGTTAGTCTGAAGTCAGACTTTGTTATACAATCAAGAAACCCTGAAGAAGAGAGACCATATACGTCTCATGCTCAGGGAAGGAGCTTTAAACAGAATTCAAAATTAATAAGACATCAGAAAGATAGCCCAAATGAGAAAACTCTTCAATGTAATGTCCGTAGTAAAATATTCAGTGATCGCTCAGTTTATGTTCAACATTGTATAGCTCATAGTGAAGAAAACAATTTGAAATATAATCAGTATGGGAAGACCTTTGGTCATGGTATACACCGCACTGAACATCAGAAAACTAATATTGGAGAGAAGTCTTGTGAAGATAGGAAAGGCTATACCTGGAACTCACACCTTACCAAACATCATCAGAGTGTTCATGGTGGGAAGGAATATAATGTGCATGAAAGAGCCTTAATTCAGAATGCACCATTTATTCAACATCAGAGAACCCAACATGGAGAGAAACCTTATGAATGTAGTGAATGTAGAAAAACTTTTGGTAATTATTCAGCCCTTACAGTACATCAGAGAATTCATACTGGAGAGAAACCATATGAATGCAAGGAATGTGGAAAAGCCTTTAATCATAACGTCTCTCTTATCCAACACCAGAGAATCCATACTGGAGAGAAGCCCCATGAATGTAATGAATGTGGGAAGGCTTTCATTCAGATAACGCACTTTATTCAACATCAGCGAATTCATACTGGTGAGAAACCTTATGAATGTAATGAATGTGGTAAAGCCTTCAGTCACAATTCATCCCGTATTGAACATCAGTTTATTCATACTGGAGAGAAGCCCTATGAATGCAGGGAATGTGGGAAAGCTTTTAGTCACAACTCTTCCCTCATTGTCCATCAGTTTATTCACACTGGAGAGAAACCTTATGAATGCAGTGAGTGCGGCAAGGTGTTTAGTCAAAGCTCACACCTCTATCAACATCAGAGAACTCACACTGGAGAGAAACCTTACACCTGTAATGACTGTGGGAAAGCCTTCAGTGATCGATCAGCACTTATTCGACATCAGAGAACTCATACTGGAGAAAAACCCTACAAGTGTAGAGAATGTGGTAAAGCTTTCAGCCAGAGCTCAACCCTCACAAAACACACAAAAACCCACACTGGAGAGAAACCTTACACCTGTAAAGATTGTGGGAAAGCCTTCAGCCAGAGTTCTTCACTGACGCAACATCAGAAGATTCATACTGGAGAGAAACCATTTGATTGTCACGAGTGTGGGAAAGCCTTCAGTAGAAGTGCCCATCTTACTCAACATCAGAGGATTCACACTGGAGAGAAACCCTGTGAGTGTAATGAATGTGGCAGAGCCTTCAGGTGTAGTTCAGCCCTCATTAGGCATCAGAGACTTCACAGTGGAGAATCACTCTGAATGTGTGGTCATTCAGACTCCTCACTTTGTTAAATACCAAAGAATCCTACTTTCATGGGTTATTATAATTGTGATCCCTCCCTTTTTTAAAAAAATGCTCTCCTCCCATTTTCTTCTGCAAAGAATTAGCTGCCAGAATACCACAAATCCATGTGAAGAAATACTGATCTGAAAGCTGGAATAGCCCAAGAAACCAACCATCAATCTTTCTGTGTGTGTGTGTATTTTCATCTGTACCTGAAAATGACTGATGTCACCATGAAGTGATTTTTTTTTTTTCCTGGCCCCAGGAGTAGGCTCTTCTGAGACACAAAGGAATTCCAGTTGCTCAAACTTGAGCTCATTGCCCCTCCTTGTACTGATTGGAATACTGCCATGTCCAAGTGAAATAGACTCATGGTTGATCGTATATTCAAACACCACCTTTCTATAAATCTTTGCCTTAATATACAATCATTCCTACCCCTAACAGTACTGTCCTCACTAAAAGGGCTACTTTGAATGCTCCCTTCTCACTGACTTTCCCGTCCTTCTCTTCTATTTAAAGTGCTTACACACTTTAGTGTTAGTTACAGCTTGAAGTTCAACAGGGCTTGAGTTTCAGAGCTGAAAAGCACAACTGAAGACAGAGGAAAAAGGGATTTTTGTTCTGAAAATTGTAAGACAAAATACTCTGAAGAAATGGTAACATCTGGAAATAATTATTGAAATACATGAAATTTTTAGTACCTTTTAGAAATTGGAGGCAAGAAAAAAAAGAGTCCTCCATAAAAGTGTCTGTTATTAGAATCAGAGCTCTCCAAATAATGTTAGTTAACATCTTAGGTATAGCAGGGTCTTTTCAAAAACTTTTCTTTCGTGGAGCCAGTTAGTTTGGGTTGTGGAGAAACAGTTGCCTTTCCTTCAGAGGCCTGATTTAGAATGAATTTATATGGTTAAAACTAATTTATGTGGTTAAAACTGCTTGTGATGGACTTGTGTTGAGTGAAGGGAAAATTAATATACATGTTACATCTCAAATTCCTCTAAGAAGCTTGGATAGTTTTCACTATTGTGATGAGCTCATTGTATGGTGACCCCAAACTTGATTTGAAGATTGTAGGAAGAGATCTTTGTTGATTAAAGCAGGGCTTTCTGCCTTTTCTGAGGGGGCATTAATCGTTTTTTTCTTTTTGGTTCTTTTAATCAAGAGGTAGTTGTCACATTATTACTCTTTTCAATTTGCAAGTTAGTCTCCTTTAGGACCCAACTTAAATTGTCACCTTCTCCTTGACCACCACAGTTGAAAATAACTTCCTCCTCAGAAAACCTTTGCCATTCGTTATATCCCTTACATATGCCTATAAAACATGTTTAGTTTGATCTTAATATCTGGTTTTATCTCCAGCTTTAACATAGTTCTCCCCATGAGGAAAGTAACTATCTTGTTAGGTCTTTTATTGTTGATTTTAAACAAAATAATAGTTACACACGGTTTTAAAAATTCATATAAGATGAGTTGTTCAATGAAAAGTCATCCCTGTAGTACCTTTGATACGTATCATACATTAGATGATTTCTTGATATGTTTTGCCAACATCATGCATACAAAATATAGTGGCTTGAGATAAACATTTTGGGGAAAATCTTACCATACTTACATTTTACTTAACAGGAATTCAACCATATGCACCAAGACACCCCCCCTCCAAAAAAGCCCAACAGATAAATTAGTGAAATTAGACATACTGTAAAATTATATTTTACATATATAACATTCTCTTGTTTACTTATACATTTATACATATGAACACATAATAGCACGTGTTATCAGAGTTATACACAAAGCTATGTAACTGCATTTTATGAGCAAATGCAGAGATTTATAAAGACAATATTGATAATACTCTATTTCCACCTTATGGGCTCACTACTGAAGGTAATTTTGTTTCTCCAAAGAATTGACAGGCACAGACAATACATTCGTGTACTCCTTTATTCCTCTCCGTGAATGTTTTTGCTCAGTTGGCCAGAGTTGATTATATCAGAAGATATGCCAATTCATCCTAGTAGGAAGGTTGCTATGATATAGCATCATGGAGAATTGAGAAATACTTCTGTTTCATTTAGGTAAAAAAATCCATTTCCCCAAATAAACCTGGCCTTAGGTATCTGGATAATTGCCACAGTTTGTAAGGCAGACCTAGCTTAAATTTCTTCTTTAGTAAATGTAAGAAAGGAAAGCTACCTGGTTTTTGCCCTTATCCTAGAAATGCAACTCAAGAAGCAGGCATTGATACTCCACTCCTTTCCTTTTTTAAGCATAAAGTAAGGCAGAATTCAGTGTATAAACTGCCATTTGTTTTTTCTTTGTGTTTTAGCTCTTCCCAGACCCCTTTCAGAGGATTTCCATGACAATAATAGCTAATACTTGATGTAAAGATTTATTACATGCTAGACACTGTTCAGGCATCTTTGTATGTATTAACTCATTCATTTCTTCCAACAATGCCCTTAAATTTAGGCACACCTTATCCTTATTTTGTAGAGGAGGCAACCATGACTCAGAAAGGCAGTCACTGGCTGACCTGGAAACACTGTGGAGCTGAGACTTAAACTCAGGTAGTCCAGCTCAAGAGTCCTTGTTCTTAACCTTTTTACTCTACTGCCTCTTTGCACATGTGTGTTTATATGTGTGGCCCTGAGATAAGTATTGAGGAAGGCTGCTGAGCATGCCAATCACCAGGGCATAATGGAACCACTTGCTAGGGATGGTGGAAGCATCAGTGAGTGATGGGACTATAGATGTCAGAACTTGCTTTTCTCCATGTTATACAATCTGGGAGCCTTGGGGAAGACCATATACCAAGAGTAGATGGCTTCTGTATTGACTTAGAGGCAGAGCTCAGAGTTAGGGCACTCTTCACATTAAGACACCATCCAAAGGGAGCCTCGTTGGATGGGACAGTATTGTCTGGGATTTGTTCCTGTGTAGGCTCCAGAGAAAAGAGTTCTGGGTTAAGAGGTGCCTTCTCTAATATAATCCAGGTTATGGTGCCTACTTAGGCAACTGCTATAAGTGTAATAAGGTATTAAATAGCATACAGGAGAGTCAGAGTGGTTTTCCTTGGATATGAAGCCCAACTTTCCTTACCAGTCCCTTTGAGAGAGGCCAGTGTTTTTGACAGCTCTGTGTGGTCCTTAAGATTCATGACTGTGACAAGGCCAAGGGCTTCTTAAGAGCAGAGAACCAGGGCTGATAGTCCTTCCTGAAGAAGGCTTTCTGAATCATGCCCTCTCCCCCTCCTTTGTACTTGATGATTGACATTGTAATAAGCCCACATGAGAAGAGATTCAGAGCTTTCTCAGTGGAGTAAATTCAAGAGGCCAGAGTATTAGGAAAAGAGAGAAAATTCGTGAGATTTTGTTTCCTTTTTCTTGTCATTTTAAGGGTATGGCATGTGATTCCCGTGGCGCTTCAAAATTATTCTTAATCCAGTGTTGTGTGGATTTATGTCATTGTTCTGTTGACCATGAGAGGAAAGGGCTCCAACAGAGGAGAAGGCTTGAAAACCACAGATGAGTTAGGGGGGCTCCTTTCCTGCAAAACTGATCCGAATAGAGGACAGCTGGAGGCTGTGTCCTATTTTTTTTTTTTTTAAGATTTTATTTATCAGAGAGAGACAGAGGCAGGCAAGAGGGAGAAGCAGGCTCCTTGCTCAGCAAGGAGCCCCATATGGGACTCGATCCCAGGGTCCTGCCTGGGATCGTGAGCTGAGCCGAAGGCAGACGCCCAACCGACCGAGCCACCCAGGCGTCCCGCAGGCGGTGTCCTTTAATGCTTTGGTTCGCTGGCTCCTCGTGAGCACACTTGCCTTGCCCCTCGCGAAAAGCTCTTTGCTTTCAGTGTTGGCTACAAGGTTGCCCAACTTCTCTGCTCTTTGGGGAGGATATTTCTTTTTTGTATCCTTAGCTCGTTTTCCTCGTGGACTCCAAAACGGCTGCCGGTGGTTATTTTTCACTTTTATTTTAACTTTAAAAAAAATTTTTTTTAAACTTTTATTTTTTAAAGGCTATTTATTTTTTAAATCTCTTACCCAAGGTGGGGCTCAAACTCACCAGACATCAAGAGCCCCACGCTCTTGCGACGGAGCCAGGGCGGCGCCCTTATTTTTCACTTTTTAAAAGGTAGCCTCTGGCTTTTCTTCTTCATTGGCCTCTTGTGCCTGGTTCTGGGACCCAACCTTTCTCGCTGTAATCTCTTGTTCATCAGTCAGGTGGGGACGTGAAAACCTTTCCCCTTACGACAGCCCTACCTGCTTAGATGATAAAGACCCAGAAATTAGTCACCTTCCTCCTGCCTTTGGTCTCGGCGCAGCTGCTCTTCGAGGTTGGCTCGACCGTTTGGCGGGGGGGAACGCTCAGGAGTTGTCATGGAGACCAGACGAGGACGTGGCGGGTAGGGGCGGGGCGAGGAAACGCCGCAGCTGCTGATTGGCTAGGAAGCCGCGCCGTTGCGCAGAGACTGAAAGATTCCTGTGTGCGCAGGCGCATTGCTTTCCTGGCCGAGGGGTGTGGCGCCGTTTGCCCTGGGGTGTGTATTTGGGTCCTTGCGGGCTCCTGGTCCGCTAATCCCGTGGCGGAGCTGTCTGTCATCGTCGACCGTCGGGCGGAACTGATTCCCGCGTGGCCCCGCGTCCCGGCTTTGCCGCCACGTCCGGAACTCCCCAGTGAGGCAGGCCCGGGGCGCTGCGGCTTTGCTTCGGGTCCAGCCACCTGCTCGCCGCGGTCGCTCCCGGAGAGGCTGCGCAGCCCGGCGGGTGCCGGCCTGGTGGCTCGGACCGCAGCGCGGCGACTCGGGCGCCAAGGACCGGGCGTGGGCCGTCCGCTGCGGTGGGGCGGCCGAGCTCTGCTGCGTCCACTGTGGGAGCTCAGAGAGCCCCTGATCGTCGGTCCAGGGAGGAGGGAGGACGAGGGAGCACGGGAGAGGTGGACTCCATAGCCTAGGGCACGTTAGAGAGGGCGCGGGACTCAGTCTAGAGCCTTTGGAGCCTGCACTGGAAGAAATTGCAGGCGATATTGTCCCTGGCCAAGGCAGGCTCCCATTTGGATGGTGTCTTAAATCGATGTGTGGGAGTTTCTAACAAGGTGGGCTGGGTGCAATCCCTGTCTCCACCTGACTCCTTTTCCTGTCTCAGGACTCTTGTGTTGGTATGAAGGAGCACTATGCCGGCACAATTCCCCCCATGTGGATGCAGTTCTCCAACTTTAAGTGCCAAGATTTTATTTCATCCCTCTTCACCAAGGCATTTAACTTCTCAAAGAGTAAAGATGGGAACCTTTTTTGTCCCCTCCCTCACTTTTGGGGAGAAATATTCAGGCTGATTCTTTTAACGGCAGTAAGATAGTAGGGCAGGAAAATATTTCCAGATATTTCTGGTGCGCAAAATAATTGTCAAATATTTTAGCTTTTAATATGAATTAATGTCCCTAACTTTTCAAACCTTCCTTCACAATCATTCTTCCATGAAAGACCTAAAATAACTTACAAAACCATTATGAATTTTCTAGTAGAAACACTTAAGTAGACGTAAGGAATTAGTTTCAAAAGGAAAAATGCTCACCCTGAACTCCAAGACTAGTCTATTAAATGCCTAACTTTACAAAACAATTTGAATTTGAGGAAGAAACTTTACAGAACA